CAACGCCAGATAATAATTGTCTAGTGTTGGGTAATTAGTTATTTACAAAACAGCTGTGCTATAATTCGTCATAAAAATTCTATCGACAATCGATAGCACTATTTTTGTATGTATTTGCAACTTCTTAGCAATTGTATTTAAATGTGTTCTAAAACTGAGGACAAACCTACAGTGCAGCAAATAGCTGAACTATGTTACAGCAAATTTCGAGATTTACCAAAAACTGGCAAACCCACAAGCAGCCAATGGACAGTCCTGGCCGGCATAGTGCAATACGACAGAGGAACTCAAACCAGCACAGTGGTTGCACTTGCTACTGGGTTGGTACAGTTTAAATAAAAGCATATAAATTAGTAGCTTCCTAATTGTAAATACTCAGCACCAGATGCATTGGCGCGAGTAAGCTATGTGCCAAAGGCTTTGTGATAAATGATTCCCATGCTGAGGTACTGGCGCGACGAGCTTTCCTACGCTATTTGCACAACGAGCTATTGAAGGCAACCACGCAGAAGGAGCAGCAACAGGATGCAGCGCAGTCAATCTTTAGTTGGAAACCAGCGACTGGCTGCTTTGCGCTCAACGAACAGCTTGAGTATCACTTCCTGAGCACGCAAACGCCCTGCGGAGATGCGTGCATTGTGGCTGACTGCGAGCCCTCGACGCTGCCAGCGAAGCGATCGCGATTGGACCCGAAAGCGGCTTTGCCTTTAACGACAAGCTCTACAGTATTCACGGGCGCCAAGTTAATAAGCCGGCAGAAAGACCAGTGGGATGACATGATGCAAACGCCAGCAGCGTTGAGGACCAAACCGGGCCGTGGTGAACGCACGCTATCCATGTCCTGCAGCGACAAGTTGTCCCGCTGGAATGTGCTGGGTGTTCAAGGCGCGCTTCTGGATATGCTTATCGATAAACCCATTTACTTTAGCAGCCTTAACTTTTGTTGTGCCGAAGCGCGCCTGGAAAACCTGCAGCGTGCCATTTATCAACGCTGGCGCGGCAGAAAATGCACACTGAGACGCTACCAGCCGCAGGAGCCATGCATACGCATAAATAATCGACTCAAATTTGAGCATGCCCAATATGCGGAATGGCAGCCGGCGCCGAGTAGCCTTATTTGGGCCCAGTTGCCCGAGTCGCTTAGGTGAGCTGTGCTCAGCTCTGGCAGTATTATTTAATCATGAAATCTTCCACAGACCCTATGAGATCGCAGTAGATGGCAAGCGTCAGGGCGTCACCAAACAGAAACTGAATACTGTACAAGCTGCTTTGGCAGTGAGTAAATATAGGCTTCTATTAAATTGCTTGGACTTGTTGCACTGCTGCCAAGAGCTGCGCGAAAAGTTCGGCCTGCACTTAACTGATCTCCAAACTATGAGCTATGCCGCGTGCAAAGCCTTAGCAAAGGATTACCAGCTGGCCTGGCGGGAATTGAAATGCGAATATTTTAAGCAATGGACTTGCAAACCAAAAGAGCTGCTGGAATTTAGCAAACAGACTGCATGACATACGTTCCAATTACCATTCTCCAGCTCCCTATTGCTACCTCTATTTCTACTCTTTCAAGAATTTTTTATGACAAGGCGGTAAGTCAAATAATTTTTATTTAATTTTAAAAAAATGTAAAGCAAGAAAGATATATATTAATTATAATTGTGGCTGCTAGAGGACTTAGAAGTGAATTGTTTTACCTCCGGAATATCAACCAAGCCTTAAAATCTATTTTATATATACATATACATACATAATAAAGTAGTTATAAGTTTGAAATAAAAGAATTTTATTTCCCCAGCTGTGAATTTTCTTCGTGTATTTTGTTCAATATGTGGACTAGGACTGAAGTACAAAAATTGGCTTACGCTATATTTAAAGCTATGCAATAATTGGAGTACGTGTCTTCTTGCAAAGGGACAGCAGCTTGCTTATAGTTTACTTTCTATTGGTCAGTTTTTGTTTATAAATAACTTTTTGATATTATTTGAGCTCGACTGCAGAAGGCATTTTATTGTTATGATTATTCAATTTGTAAACATTCAGTGGGTTATACTATGAAATGCAGCTTATTAATTACAGTGGTTCAAAATAGTGTTGTTGTGAATATGTCACTTTAAATAGATTTATTTGTATTATTTAATCAAATATCCATTATCAAGAGCATTTTAATATCTAAGAAACAAGTGCTTTTTAATCTTTTAACCAGATATACGAATTGAGTCTAAGGGCTTGACTGGGTCAAAAATTGAGTTGGTTCGGGAATGATTATATTTTAATTTAATTAAACAAAATATGTATAAGTTTATTTTCTTAATTCGGTAATCCAGCAAATGCCTGATTTTTGTTTGTACGCATATTTTGAGCATATCATATTACCACACCACAATGGAAATAGTGCGGGGTGAGGATAGTTGGCAAATAAAGTTTGCCTTCTCCAGGCAGTGCGCCTGCTTCATCACAAAACCATCTTCGTAATCGCTTACTAAGACCACACAATTTAATTCTTCATCCATTTTATGGGGGTCCTTCACATGCTGCACATCCTCGTCGATCCATTTCTCATAGCCAGTCTGTAGACCCGTCGCAATCGAAACATATTCCTCTTGACCCAGTCGATTAATGTCCAGCCAATAGCTTTGACTTACATTCAGTCGAAGCCCTATAAGTAGCCTTTCCTCTTCCATTTTCAGGTTAATTAGATTACCGCCTTTTTGGCGACATTCCTGTGCCGCTTGAAACCAGTTGAGTTTCTTGTTTGCAATGAAATAAAACTTACGACCAATTAATTCGAACGGTTTTAACTGGGCTACATATTCCTGCGGCACGAAATCTATTGTCTTGTACTCTAGACGAGTGCTAAGCGTAGTTGCTATTGGAATTTTTATTTAATTGGTGCAAAATTGTAATTGGCTATAATATTCGATATCTCTTACATTCAACCAGTTTCGTTTGCACCAGCATTTGAAGCAGCAGAACGGAAAAAACAATATACCGAAACATTTTAATTGTACTTTTTGACTGCTACTACTCGCTCAAAAGTTATATTCCCAATGGGCTTAGTTATTATTTTTTGCATATATTTAAAGCTATATTCGCTTTTGCTCGCTTGCTCTGACTAACTATTCTGCAGATTATGCGCTATATATAAATATACCGAGGCATTAGTCAACATAGAAGTCGTTTAGTTATTACAGGATCCGAACTAATAAATGAATAATAAATGTTTTCGATACAATGCACTATGGGCCAGGTCGCTGTTTTTTTGGAAAAATTTAAAATGTTAAACATCTATTGAATAGCATTTCAGAAGCATGGCAATGTCTTAAGCCAAAATGTGGCATTTTTAGGAAAATAATTTTTAATTTAACGTTTAAACTTTTAATCAATAAAAATTTACAGGAATAATTTAATACACAAACTAAAGAGCAAATTGAATATAAAAATCAGTATTTATTCAAAAGCTAAAGCTAATATATATTTAAGAGAACTATGTAGTTTTGGGGACCTATAAATATCAGGTACTCGCATGAATATTCGTATGAAATATGGTTTTTAATTTATTGAATAACTATGCCACAGTGTTTGTTGGTCAATCGTGCTGTGCACAAAAACGTATTTGCTTTCAGTCAAATCAATTTATAATTATTTAATTGATCGGCCCAAAAGTACGATTTTGTAATTGTCGGGGACTAGATACACAAATAGGCGGAATTTTGAATAAATAAATATAGCCGCATATAGTAGAAGTTCTATAATCAAATTCTGTTGATATCTACCCGATGTCTCCTATGACCATAAATTTGAGATTCTTTTTGAACAAGCATACATCCTGTGAAAATAGGGGGAACAAAAATCAGAAAGCAATAAAATCGGCTCATAAAATATTAAAAAAAAAAACGTTCCTTAAACTATGTTTTATAATTATTTTGACGGCGACAATCGATGAAAAATAAAATCGACAAGCTGTAAAACAGGTTAAGTTGACAAAAATAAATACGAAGGGAAGTAACCAATATTTTGAAAAATGTTTTTTAAAACAAACATTTGGTTATATAATAGAGAATTAGACAAGATCGAATGTTGTGTAACGCCCAAAAATCGGTAAGAAATGAAACATCGATTTTGTTCATTTTCAATATGCAACATCTAATAGTAATATATTTATTTTTTAATACCGTAAAGTGTAATACACATTAATCTAATTGTCATTTAGCAAATGTTTAACAAACAAACGTACAAAGCACTCGTACAGTAACAAGATACAAGATACAAGATACAAATACACAGTAAGACAAGCAAATACATATATAAAGAGGTACAAGTGTTTGCTATATAAAGTATAATAATAAAAACTAAAACGAGACTTTAACAATGGGCATCAGCTGCTCTGGGGATATGGTATGGGTGGAGAAGGGGAGGGTGTGTTTATTGGTGGTGGGCCAGAGCAGCTCATCCGATTCGCTCCTACAGTGCAGGCTGTGTATATGAATGATATATACATTCATATATATATAGCTAAGCATACGACTCGATTTATCCGTGTGACCAATCCAACGACGCCCCTCCTCAGTGTCCGCCAATTTCGCGCAGCTCGCGCTTGCCCAGCGGCAGCGGCGGGCGGAAATTGTTGATGACCTTGCCATTGAATTCATTGCAGGGACATTCCTCCTTGACATCGTAGGCATTGAGATTGCGCATGGCATTCAGTTGATCGTCGGAAACTTGTATGGGCGTCTTGAATACAATCCAAATGACACATTCGGAGCAGGGCGGCGTTGTCAACGAACCCTCATACGTCCAGTAGGTGTGCACATTGGGCAACAGCTGGCCAGGATCACAGCCCAGTGGCAGGGTAACGCGATCACCCTTGTGCAGCACAAACTGCAACAGGCTGCTGATCTTGTCCAGCTCAGCATGATGATCGCCCGGCTGTAGGAAAACTCCCAGCACGGCCAGACCATCTGGCGCGGCGGCCGCCTCACCGAATGATTTGAACTTGGTGGTGTTCCAGTGAACCAGATGCAGTTCGCCGGCATATGAGACACCATCGACCGTATGCTCCGAGCCCTTGGAGTCTGTGCAGCCCCAGTGGCAATGGAACTGTTCCAGTTTAAAGATCTGATCGCCCAATGGACCGCCAGTCAGCTCCGAGTTGGCGCCATTCACATCCACGCGCCAGCAGTAGCCTGCAAGGTAATTGGGTAAATGTTTAGCTTGCCAGACCTTACAGCATGTTGTGTGCCAACCTACCTGGATTTACCAGACTCTTGGTATCCTCCGGAACGTACTTCCATTTAAGCGGCGACACCTTCAGATCGCTGCCCTTTTTGGCGCTGGAGGGCGTTATGTCCACGGGCGACTGACGATGTCCGGATGCCTGCGGGTAATCCTTGGCCCAGTGTGCGGGTCCTGAAAAAACCAAACAAATTCAGTTAATTAACTGCGACTATTAACAACTCGTACCACAAATGTAAATCTTTCGATGGTCTTTCGAATTTCGATCGATTTATAAAGGGAACTAAATGATGGCATTAAACCAAAGCAAAGAGACTTAAATCAACATTTAGACTCTAGCTAAGCATGTGGCCAAGAAGGTAATTACCAAAGACAGTTAAGGATCCTGGAAAACACACATATTATAGGTGGCTCTATTCAGGGCACAAACCAAAGGCTCGGCTACCAATTTCAAATAAGATTTTTGGGATCATTTTGCCAAAATTGAACTTTCATGAGTCCCAATTGAAAACTCAGTCCCAGCAAAGCTCGTTTCCATCCACTTCATGTCCTTCATGCACACACTGGCCTGTCCTCATCCTCTTAGATAACTTATCTAACGAAAGCATATTTATTTCTTTTTATCTTACATGAATTCCTGAGACATTAGAAGTAAGAACTGCTATGATGCTCTTTGTACCGGAAATTTGTATGTGGCTTTAATGATAACCATATCTGATAAAAAAATATGTACGTGTATATTTGTAGAAGGCTCAAGTATTTAAAAAGACATTTTTATTAATATCTGACTGGTGTTTGGAAGGCTTAAGCAAAAGCTGGCATAGCTTACTGTGTGCTTCGACAGTCGACTCAGGTTTTTTTGTCTAGGCAAATATTTGTGCTACGATGGTAAAAATGGGTAAGAAAGCTCTTGGCTTAGTGTCAAGCAAGAAAGTTAAATACCCTACCAAATTCAATTTCCGCCCGATAAATGTTAAAGTATAACTTTATTCTGATATAACTTAGCCTGTTCTAAACAAGTCAAGTAAAAATCAGCGTCTAAACTGGTTAATAGCGTAATTTTAAACGACGTCCAACAACAGTTTTAATATTTAAACAAATACATTTACCAAACTGGGTTATTGCCCAATTAAATTCTCACTTAAGATATATCAATTACGTATAATGGAAAACCCACGGGAAAAATATCATTAAATAAAATATTAGAAAACCATTTGGAAATAAACATCAATTAAATGAGTGAAGTAAAGCTTTCAAGTATAATTAAAATATACTATAGAATTTTAGGCAAATGTTAAATAATAGAAATTACAATTTCGCTTACCTAACCCATTGCTAAAATGTGAACAGATGTGAATTTTGAGATCATAAAAATGTTAAATAGAAAAATATACTTTTATGTCAAGACAAATATTATCTTAGAATAAATGAAACTTTTACTTCTATTTTGTGATCATATAAAATTTGTTGTCTGAAGGCGCTTTATCTAGTCAAGAAACATCTGTGACAACAAAATGAAATAATAATTTTAATTTTATATTCATTTTTCTTTTGCCATTGTTTGCTGCTTGCGTTTTTTTTGTTTTTTAATTTTGTCGTGTGCTGCAACAACAACAAAAACAAGAAGAAATATTTACTTGGAGAGATGTCACGTGCTGTGACAGAGACTCACCCGAGAGTTTCGGCTCTGAGGCAGAGTCATGTGATGGGATGGTTCGCACTGACGCACGGCAATAGATAAATCGCAAACTGGGGGCGGCTGGGCGTGCCAGCAAAAATATCATACAAATGTTAGGGTGCACTTAATCATGCATTCCACCTTATCTAAACAGGTCTTTTACTTTGTCTATGGACACACACGATAAATCACCGACTTGAGCTACGGTCTTAGGGCATTAATTTCTTTTCAATTTTAAAGCCCCAGACCAAACTGATAAATCATATGTTGTGTTGCAATGCATTTTCCTTATCAACGGACAGCGTTAATTATGTAATTAGGAAAAGAAAAAAAACGAACGAAAAAATGCCCAAGTAACATTCAACTGTGCAAGTGATACGCAATTTGCACATGTGACAGGCAAATTGATAGGGTATATAAATGGCTAAATCAGGCAAACAGCTGATATACAGCTGCTCGACATAGGTACATATATCACGTATACGCCCGGACAGGCCTATGTTACTTTATGCAACTAGAGCTTTACAATCTAAAGCCATTTTGAAGTTTGCCATTTGCACATGTGACAAAACATATTGCTAGGGCAGATTAATCAGATATACAATTCAGCATTCATTTTGCACACACTACATCACGTATACGCCATGTGTGGCTTCCAGAGCTGGAACCCTGTTATCCTTTGTAGCCATTTCAGGTCTTGCGACTGGCTCATGTGATAGGCGCACGCATAGATCATATAATAATACTATTGTTGAATATACAAATAGCTCATGCATATCACGTATACGCCATGTTCAGCTGCAACCTAGTGAGCCTTTGTGAAATTATGAAAAGCCTTAATTGAGCCAATTGATTGTTTGTCATCTGCACTCATCACGAACGAGTATAAAGGGCAGCTCCACACCTGTATGTAGCTGTGCTTGAATATTTATATCACGTATACGCCATGTACGGCTACATCTAAAGCTTGTGCCCGATGATCCTTTGTTTAATTGAAAGCCTTGCCATTTGAGTGTTTATCATCTCGACGCATGCCAAGCGCGTATATTGTGTATATAAATATAAGAACGACACACCTGATATGCAGCTTTCTTACATATCCATATGAGTTGTGTTACTTGTAAGAGTATCTTTAAAGTTGAAACACACACCTGAAATGCACTTGAATCGCGTATACGTCGTGTGTGCCAGCTGTTCCTGTACAATCGATGCAAATCCTTTAACATTTAAGTTGTGCAAAAATATCCGGTTAATGATAAATTAACCAAATATTTTGTCCGGCTATAAAGCTGTCATTTAGTCAGCTGCTGCTCAGCTACGTTTTGTTGCCAGTTTTGCATTTATACTCATATTTATTAAACAAATTTCATTTATT